TGAAGAACAGATTAAAAACTTTTGTGTTATTAGCTGGGCGGTGGTGGTACATGCCTCTAATCCCAGCATTTGGGAGGTAAAGGCAGGCAGATCTTTGAGTTCCAGGCCAGCCAGGGCTATATAGAGAAACCCTGTCTCACCCCCTCCCCCCAAAACACTGTATTATTGTATTATAAATTAAAATTTATTTTAATATTTCTTTCTCTTTTTAATTTTTTTTTTTTTGAGACAGGGTCTCTTTGTGTGGCCCTGGCTAGGCTGAAACTTGCTTTGTAGACCAGGCTGGCTTTGAACTCACAGAGATCTGCTTGTTTCTGCCTTAAAATGCTGTGATCAAAGGCATGCATCAGTAAGCCAGGCTTTTTTTTGTTTTGTTTTTCGAGACAGGGTTTCTCTGTGTAGCTTTGCGCCTCTCCTGGGACTCACTTGGTAGTCCAGGCTGGCCTCGAACTCACAGAGATTTGCCTGGCTCTGCCTCCGGCTTTTATTATTATTATTATTATTATTATTATTTGTGTATGCTAGCATAAGTGCACTGTGTGCCCTCAGGAGCCAGAAGAGAACAACGGATACCCTGGAACTGGAGTTACAGACAGTTGTTAGCTAGTCATGTGGGTGTTGAGAATGGAACCTGGTCCTCTGGACGAGCAGCCAGTGCTCTTAACCACTGAGCCATCTCTCCAGGCCCCCTAATCTCTTTTTAAAGCCAAGAGTGAAGCATGGCAATGACTGGGAGTGTGTGCAACTCCCATGGCCAAACAACACTTCGATTTTGGTAGTCATCTACTCCTGCCCTTGCCGTTCAAACCTACCAGCTCTCTTCTCCAACTCCTGGGATCACCATAGCTGACCCATGGCCCAGGGTCAAAACCATAGTTTTTCTTACCTGGAAGATCAACTTTCAAATACAAGCTGGTTCTCATAATCAGAAGCACCTGGCTTGCTCTAGGTCCGTTCCAAAGGCCTCAGTGTGTTTTCGGCACAGAGCCCAGCTCAGGTCCAGTGGTGCCTTTCAGTGTTCTTTTGAATGAAAGCCAAGGTTTTCCATAATACTTAAGAAGACCCTGGTGGCCCTGCTCTCCCCTCTCTCCCCTCTCTTTCCACCTTCCCATTCGTATCTTATAACATTTGTTTATTTGTAGCACTGTGATGGAACCTCAGGCCTCATGCATGCTAGGCTAACACTGTTGAGTCCTACCCTGGCCCTAATTTACAGTTCTTTATATCTCTCAGGGCACTGTATATCATCTGCTATGCTATATTTTACTTATTTATGCCTCTGCTCTCACTAGACCACATGGCCCACAAAGGCAGGGATTTTCGCCTAGTTTGTTGTTGCTACTGTTTTTACTGCTTTGTCCTCGGGCCGAGAACAGCGCATGTCATGGAAGAGGAATCCAACCAAGCATGCACACAGCTCTCACCATTATGCTAACCCTTGCAAAACAGTCACAGTAATTTCACTGATAATATTTCACTGTAGTCTCATGGTATCCCTGTGAGACAGGCAGAATATGTTCTTTATCAGACAGAGTAGGTCAAGCTGGGATACAATCTAGATTTCCTCTTTTTTTTTTTTCTTCTTTTTTTGTTTTTGTTTCTGTTTTTTGTGTTTTTTTTTTCCTCGAGACAGGGTTTCTCTGTGTAGCTTTTCACCTTTCCTGGAACTCACTTGGTAGCCCAGGCTGGCCTCAAACTCACAATGATCCACCTGGCTCTGCCTCCCGAGTGCTGGGATTAAAGGCGTGCGCCACCACCGCCCGGCTGTTTCTGTTTTTTTTTAGACAGGGTTTCTCAGTGTAACCTTGGCTGTCCTGGAACTCTGTAGACCAGGCTGGTCTTGAACTCACAGAGATCTCCCTGCTTCTACCTCTTGAGTGCTGGGATTAAAGGTGTGTGCCACCACACGTTTTTCTTTTCTTTTCCTGAGACAGGGTTTTACATTGTAGTTCAGGCTGGCCTGGAACACACAGCAATACTTTTTGCTCCGCCTCCTAATTACTGGATCATGAGGATAAGTCATCATACCCAGTGTTTTTCTTATTCTTGGTACAGGGATCTTTTGAGAGACCAGAGGCTGGAACACTCTGGCAAGTTGGTCATATTTTGGCCCACTCACTGTTTCTGTAAATTAAGTTTTTTTGCTGGTTTGTTTTGTTTTTCAAGACAGGCTTTCTCTGTGTATCCCTGGCTGTCCTGGAACTGGCCCTGTAGACCAGGCTGGCCTTGAATTTACAGAGATCTACTCTACCTCCCGAGTGTTGGGATTAAGGGTATACACCACTGCCTGGTGTAAATCAAGTTCTTGTTGGCACATAGCTACATTTATTTGTGACATACTTGTGGCTGCTTTAAGCTACTATAGCAAGTTGGGTAGCTATGATGAACACTGCATGGCCCACAAGGCTAACATATTTACTCTCTGGCCCTTTACACTAGAGTTCTCTGCCGGGGCAGCTGGCCTCCACCTGTGACCCATACGTGGAGGTTCCAGGTGCCCTTTAGGGTATCCACTACGTCAAAGTAAATTCCATACTGATGCTGTTGTGTAAGTTTTCACTATGCTGACACTTAGAATGACGATACAGAAGCAGCAGTGGGTGTAGAAGTTTCCTGTAGCTACTGAAACAAAGCACCACAGATGACCACGGGGCTTCAGCAGAGAAATTCATTCTTTGTTTGCTGAGATAGAGTTTCACTATGTATCCTTGGCTGGCCTAGAACTCGCCATGTAGAACAGGCTGACCTCAAACTCACAGAGATCTAATCAACCAGCATCAGCCTTTGCCTCTGGGACTAAAGGTGTGTAGTCAGAAACCCATCCAGAAAGCTTCTGGAGGCCAGAAGCCAAAGTGTGAATGTGCTGGAGCTCCCTCCAGCGGCACCAGGAGATAATTCTGTCCTTTGCTTCTAGGCTGGCCTGGAACTCATGGCAGTCCTCCTGCCTCAGCTACATCTGGTCTTAAATCGGTCTTCATGCTTGTGTCCTTGTCTCTTCTGGGTCATCTTTTATTCTATCTCCTGACACTTGCCATTGGGTTCAGGAGTCTCTCAGCAATCCAAGGTGTGCTTGAGAGCCTTTGTTTATATCTGCAATGACTATTCCCAAGATTCTTGTGAAGTAGAAGCAGGAGGAGCAGGAGTTCAAGGTCATCCTTAGATAAAGGGTGAGTTTGAGGCCAGATTGGGCTATATGAGACTTTGTCTCCTCAAAAAACTAAACAAAACACGGGCTGGAGAAATGACTCTGGGTAAAAGCACTTGACAATCTTCCTGAAGAGTTAAGTTCCCAGCACCCACATCAGGTGCCTTACAACTACCTATAACTCCAGCCCCAAAGGATCCAGCATCCAGTTCTGGCCTCTGCAGGTACCCACATATGTGGCACACCTGCACACAATAAATAAAAGGCATACAAATAAAAATAAATCTTTTAAAGCAAAACCAAAGTCTAAGAGAAAATAAAACGGAAACAACAGTCCTAACAACAGCACTGTTTAAGGAGCCTGTGAGAACCACCGGAGAACTGTAAGGAATGAGCATAGACAGGGGAATGCTGCAATCATAGTGTAGAAGGTAGTTACGACCGTGGATGGAACATGCGGGTTATCTATTTGTGTATGTGTGTGTTCCTGCTTGTGCATGTGTGAACATTTGTGTGCACGTGTGGATAGAGTCCAGAGGTCCACATTGGGTGTCTTCCCAGTTAGTCTCCACCTCAGCTGCTCTCCAGCTCTGTTTTTGAGATGGGAGTCTTGCTCTATTGCCTAGGCTGCCCCAAACTCCTAGGTGGAAATGATCCTCTTGCCTCAGTTTCCAGAGCAGTTGGGATGCCTAACTTGTGCCACTGTACTTGTCGGAAGTCAGATTATAAAGCAGCAATTAAAAGAAAAATCTCTGCAATGAAAGCTTGAAAACACACAGTAAATATTAGTGGTCTGTTGGTATGATTTGGGGCAAGCTATTACTTTTTTGTACTCGTAGTCTGGTCAAGCAGATGATCTCTTTCGTAATGGAGGAGAATGGCCCTTTTTGTGTTGCAATAAAAGACAGCACTTCCAGTGTGCGGTGGACTAGATTTGTGTTGGAGGCGAGTCCACCTTGTGGCCAGTGATGGAAGTACAGCCAAATCTTCTGAAGCCGGAGAGAGCGGAAGAATCTAAGTAAGGCATTTCTGATGCGAGATGCAATGTGGAGCTCCCCCACACTCAACCTATTTGATCCTAAACTGCAAGGTTGCCCGGCCATAGGGATGAGTTTTTGTTGAAAAAAAAATTTTTTTTCTGCGTTGGTGCTCTTCAATTTTATATCTTTCGAGTTAAATGTTCTCTTTGACCTGTAAAATGGCTCTTTGGCAACCAGGACAACTGTACCATCTTCTGGCCATGAAGGCAGATAAATCTGATCCTTGGAACACTTTGGTCAGTCTTTGTCCCCCTCCACTCTGGCTCTGATAATGTCTCCTCCCTCTGCTGACTCACTTCCAGCTGAGAGAATTTTAGTCACAAGCTGGCGATCATGGCCATTTCGAGCTTGTCTCCAGTCTCCTGTCTTCCATTTAGGAGTGTGAGTGCGTGCCTGGGATAGTGCTGAAAATCCAGCACGGTGATGTTACTGCAGTGCAGAGAACGCCCACTCTTTCTGTTTTTATGCTGCCACCCACTAATATTAATAATTAATAATTTGCTGGAGGAGAAAGAGGTAAAAAGTAGGAAGGCTTAATTGAAAGTATGTGTGTGAAAATGCACTGACTTGTCTGTGCACAGTGTGTGTGTGCTTACTCTAGTCAGGACGAGTGGCAGCTAGAACTGAAAGGGCTTCCCTTCAGATTCTCAGTTTCTTCTTTGCCTTGTCCCCCTCCCTCCCTTATGGTCAGTTGTCCTCAAGGAATCTGTAGCAACGAGGCCTCTAAAAGCCGTTATGAGTGGTGGGAATCTGCCCACCTCAATTCTTGGTGATCAGTCCTAGGTGCTTTTACCCCATTCGGAGAACTGAGGCATCCTAGACCAGCCGGTATCCATCAAGGGATGTGTATCTGGGGCAAAAGGGCTGCTGCTCCTTTTCAGTGGGTCTTGGTGCCTCCAGCTCTGGGTCAAGTACTCGGTACTTCCACGTACACTCCAAGTGCACACACAAAGTAGAACCCCTCATCCTTCCCAAGGAAACCCCTAAGCATGTCAGGTGGGTTTTACAAAGGGAGAAACAGAAACGATAGCATTCCATGGCTGGTTTTTCTTCCTGAGTGCTTCGCGGGAGGGGTAATAGCTCATTTCTTCCCCAACTTTTGAAAGTCACATCCCAGCACCAAAACTCCTTGGGTTAGTTTTCCTGCAACCAGAGTCAAATCAGTACAGCACAGTACTGGGAGTCGACTCGGCGTTTTTCTTTTAGCAAAGAAGGTAAGAGGTTTTTAGCATCTTCCCAGGCCTGGGTCTGGGCCATTATTTTCACCAAAATCGCGTCTGAAACCACGCGATCAGCTGCGGTCAATTCGCACTGCCCACTCCAGCTCCAAATTCTGCGACACTTTCCCCCTAGTTGTCATGCGCCGGAGTATTGCACCAAGGCTGCCGCAGGACTCTGCCTACTCCGCTACACGAACGCTGCCAGACTCTGCGACTGCGCCACAACAAAGATGGCTGCGGAGCGAGGCTCAGCCCTCGAGGGGCGTGGTCAAGCGTGCTCCTAGCCAATGAGCGCTAGCGCCTGGCCGCCGCCAATCGGAAGGCAGCGCGGGCTCCAGCGCGGGTGTTCCAGTCACTATGTCGGACTCCCCGGCCGGGGGTCCTGCGGTACGCGGTGGGCCCCTAGGCCTCCGAAAAACATGGACCGAACTGATGGGTAGGTCTCGCCACCACTACCTTCCGACCTCCACTTGTGAGCGCCCGGTGCAGTCCTTCCGTTCTCCTGGGGCCATTCTCCACGGTCCGCCCCTTCAGGTCCCAATGTGGTGCATCCCTGCGACCTGCAGAGAGCCCCAGCCTGTTGGTCTAGAGCAGCGGTGGGCTCCCGGCTTTCTGGTCCCCGCTGCTTGCTTGCGCCAGCGGCAGATGACCGTCCTGATCTTGGGCAGCTCTCCCTGGACCTCCGCGCAGGGTGTCACCTGGTGTACGTTGCGCTGTAATTTTTTGCAAAAAAAAACCATATATATATATATATATATATATATATATATATATATATATTTGTTTTTTTTTTTTTTTTTTAAATCTCCTTAGCGGGCAGAGTCAAGAAGCAAACATATAATCCTGAAAGGGAACAGAAATTAAAGGATTCCGCTCTGCAACTCCTGAGATACCACCAAAACATGAATGACCTTTTACTAGAGGTAAGAGGAAGTTGGCATGGCTGGCAGGTTGGGTGTTTGGAGCCCAGTCAGATCATAATCTTGATAATATCCTTGTAAGCCTGTGTACCTGGTGAATACTGGTAACTGCAAACCAGGTGAGAAGAAAGCTGAATGTATTTTCTGCCTTTGGAGATTAAAGCAGTTGGATAGTAAATTTAATAATTCTCGAAAGACTTTAGTAATTCCTTCTTGAAAAAAAAAGAACTTGAGCCGGCTGAAAAGATGGCTCAGTACATACTGTTTTGTTTTTATTTTATGTGTATCAGTGTTTCATTTGCATGTATGTACGAACCACATGTGTGCCTACAGAAGTCAAAAGAAGGCATCAGAATCCCTGGAACTGGGGTTGTGGATGGTTGTGAGGCACCACGTTTGTGCTAAGAATCAAACCTTTGCAAGCACAACAAATGCTCTTAACCATTGAGTCATCTCTCCAGCTCTAACACATCTTGCTGTTCTTACAAAGGATCTGAGTTCAGTTCTCAGAACCCATGTCAGGTGGCTCAGAGCCATCTGTAACTCTAGTTCTAGGGGATCTGACACCCTCTTCTGAAGACACTGCACAAACTGATGCACATACACACAAGCAGGTTAGCTTTATGTCAGCTCAACACAAGCGAGAATCATTTGGGAAGAGTTTATCTCAATTAAGGAACCGTGCCCCGATAGGCCTGTGGGCAAGCCTGTGCTACATTTTCTTGATTAATGATTGATGCGGGAGGGTCCTGGACTGGTGGTCCTGGGATCTATAAGAAAGCAGGCTGAGGTGGGGCAGTCCTGGCGCAGGCTTTTAATTCCAGTGCCGAGAAAGCAGAGCCAGGCAGATCTCTGTGAGTTCAAGGCCAGCCTGGTCTACAGAGAGAGATTCAGGACAGGCACCAAAACTACACAGAGAAACCCTGTCTTGAAAAAAAACAAAAACAACAACAAAAAAGAAAGCAGGCAGGCTGAGCAAGCCATGGTGAGTAAGCCTGTAAGCAGTACTCCATAACTCCATCAGTTCCTGCCCTGACTTCCCTGGATGATGGACTACAAGTTGTTTTATATGCATGTTTCTTTCTTTTTTCTTTTCCTTTTTGGTTTTTTTTTGGGGGGGGGAGAGGGTGTGTGTGTGGGGGAAGACAGGGCTTCCCTGTGAACTCTGTAGACTAGGCTGGACTTGAACTCTGAGATCTTCCAGCCTCTACCTCCAGAATGCTGGGATTAAAGGTGTGTGCCACCACTGCCCAGAAAGATGGACTGGACTACAAATTTCAAACTGAAATAAGCCCTTTTCTTCTCAAGTTGCTTTTGGTCATGGTATTTTTTTTTTCATCACAACAATAGAAATTCTAAGACACACAGAAACATGTACATGCAAAAATGAATTAAAAAACCAAACAAAACCAAAAGCCAACCCAACCAAACAAAAGACACCACTTGAGAGTGCCCACTATGTGCACTATACACAGTCGGACTTTGACAGTGGAGTTCTTCATGTTTTGGTTTGTAGGTAGAAGATCCACAGTGTAAAAAATTATGTCTCAGCAAACTGATTGACCGCGACAGTGCCTCGGCCTACTCTGACCAGTCCAGTTCCTTTATCCGTAAGTTGTCACTGCTTTTTTTCAATTCATTGAGTTAGAGAACGTTTAAGGAAAAAGTCTTGATCTGTTTATAATAAATAGAAATTTAAATTCCATCAAATAATGCCTTTCCTCTTATGTATTATCACTAGGTTACACAGGTTTTATGACTTGTTTTGGAGTTACTTGGTTGCTGATTTTTTTTAAATGTATTTATTGCTCTTGTTCTCCTGTTTCTCTGTCTCTGTGGGGGGTGGGGAAGGGCACATGTGGAAGTCAGAAGACAGACTTGTGGAGTTGGTTCTCACTTCTATCTTTACATGGGTTCCAAAAATCAAACCCAGGTTTCCAGGTTTGTGTAAAAGCACCCTTACCTAACTCTGAGCCATCTCACTGCCCCCCACCCCCACATACACACACTTTTTTTCCCTTTATTGAGACAGGATCTGTATCCCAGGCTGGCCTAGACCTTGTTATGTAGCTGAAGATGATCTTGAACTCCTGACCCTCCTGTTTCTACTCCCGAGTGCTGAGATTATACTGGGGATCACTCCTGCTAGGCAAGCATTTTACCAACATTCTCAACTCCTACTGCTGGTTTGAAAATGTACTCATTTTGAGCTGGAGAGATGTCACAGAGGTTAAGAGCACTGACTGCTCTTCTAGAGGTTCTGAGTTCAATTCCCAGCAACCACTTGGTGGCTCACAACCATCTGTAATGAGATATGGTGCCCTGTTCTGGCCTGCAGGCATACATGCAGGCAGAACACACTGTATATGTAATAAATAAATAAATCTTAAAAAAAAAAAGAAAGAAAGAAAGAAAATGTACTCAGCTTAAGGCGCAGGTTATAAGGAACCCAAGTTACCCTTGGGAAAATCATTTGGTGTGCACTTCCTTCACAACAGTGATGACTGCAGTGAGCAAGCATGAAACCAGAAACATCCTCCTAGGTGTTCCTCCCAGTTCCAAGAGTCTGAGAAAGCAGTGTGTGTGGGTGGGGGAGGTAAGGAGGGAGGTGGGTAGATGGGGGAGCAAAAGGTAAATTTTTTTTTGCACCTCACATTTTTTATTCTACAATGATTTTTTTCAAAAAGTGATACTAATGTCATTATTCATTAGTTTTTCATCTTTTTGTTTGTTTTTGAGCCAGGGTTTCACTGTGTAGCTTTGAAGCCTGTCCTGGAACTTGCGCTCTAGACCAGGTTGGCCTTGAACTCATAGAGATCCGCCTGCCTCTGCCTCCCAAGTGCTGGGAGTAAAGGCTGTTCTTTATCTATTTTTTACATTTATTTATTTATTTTGTGTTTTTTTTTTTTTTTTTTTTTTTTGAGGCAGGGTTTTTCTGTGTATCCCTGGCTGTCTTGGAACTTAACTCTGTAGATCAGGCTGGCCTTGACTCATAGCGATCCACCTGCCTCTGCCTCCAGAGTGCAGCAAAGGCGTGCGCCACCACTGCCCTGCTTATTTTTTACATTTATTTATTCATTCATTGAGAGCTTGTGTGCCCAGGTGACCGTGTGGAGGTCAGAGGTCAACTATGTGAATCAGTTCTCTCCTTCAGCCATGTGGTTCCTGGGGGCCACACTCAGATCGCCAGCCTTGACAGCGGGCAGCTTTACACACAGAGACATCT